TCACAAAGTAGCCAAGTTTATTGTTGTTACTGTGTGCCATGTATGGCAGTCCAACAACCAGTGCTGTTTTATTTCAGTAACACCAGAGTGTATGATACGAAATTAAGATTGTGATAATAAATTTACATAATTTTATTTTGCAAGTAACTGTTAAACTAGTGTACTGTTCATATTTTGCAGTCTGACTTTTATTACTGGCTACTTAATAGCAGAATTAAAGTTCTTTGTATTTCTATATTTCTCTATTTTCTGTATTTCTTTGTATTTCTATACTTTTTCTCCTTTTTGAAAAGGATTATCTCCTTTGAATTTTTAAATGTTGCTCTGAATCTTACAGTGTCTGTTTATGTTTTTTTCCCAAAATTATAACTATTTCTTAACTTCAAAAAGAATTAAGGTTTTGCTTAGCAATTTTTTTGGAATATTACTTAGGAAGGTTTTGTCACTCAGTGAGAAAGCAATTGTGCTGGGCAGGTTCTTTAGGAGAGCATTGGGACAGAGGCAGCTTCTGAGTTCAGCATAAATAGAATTAATTTCAATTTAGCTGTCCCCAAACTGTCTTGATTTTCTTGTATATATATTAATCTTTTGTATGGTATCACATTTCTCTCTTTATGTTTTAACATATTATCTCACATAGGACTCACCTCCCACAGCTGTTTCTCCTATAGTGATGGATCTTTGCTTTGTTCTCATGCAAATGTTACCTTAGAGTGCCTTAGGCACTCTCATGGTGTTCATTGTCAGTGTGTAATGGGGTCAAATACCCTTCTCTGGGTATGTCAGCCTCAGTCTTCAGTGGATACAGATGATCTACCAGTAGCAGAAAAGGTGTTACTTCAACACACAAGAGACTTGTCTTTTTTGTGGGCTTTATCCAGGATTCTGTCTACCTGTGAATTACAGACTTGTACCTCTTAGGACTCATTTTAAACTATTGTTCAGATGAGGAGTGTGTTGAGATAGGAGAATCTGCTACTCTGCACAGCTTTTCACTGTTCAGATATTTTAGGGGTTTTGTGGGGTTTTTGCCTTGTCTATTATGAAGGAACATCTGCAGGCTTTATTTAACTCTTTACTTTTTTCAGGGACGCAGGGACATTGGCAATGCCTTCATCTCTCCTGTCTTCTTCCTGTACTTTTAACTAGGTTTTTTTATAAATATGTTGGAAAGTTTTGGAATCTTATATACTGTGCATGCTGTTGAGGAACAGATGTTGTATGGGCCTAGCTCCATTTCACATCCATTGTGAGATTGCCCACAATTACAGAAGACTGGGTTCAATGACACAGCCAGTCCTGGACTCCCTTCGGTGGACAGGTAGCCAGAAAACAGAACTGGATCCATCTCGTGCCCCTTGAATGTCCCAGTGGACAACTGCAGCATATAACTTCAGCAGTGTAAAGAGGATTTTAGCTAATGATTTGGAGTTATAATGGCTTCATAACTATGCAGAAACTGCTTTTTACAGTACTTGCTCCACAACCTCCCTTTACTTCACTGAGCCCCTCAGTTAAAACTATTTCTCCCTGAACAGGTTCTCAGGATCTCTCCTCAGCAGCTCTGTGTGTCTCGATCTTTACTTCAGTACAAGTTCAGAATCCACAGGAGATTCTTTGGCATTTAGGAGTCCTGCCAGAGTAAAGTCTGGACTCCTGTGGCATTTTTGGAAAACGGGAGGTAAGTAGCAGAGAATCAAGACAGTCCGCTGAAGGAAGGGTCTCTGAAAGGAAGGCATTTTGGGGACAGGATGATGGAGCTAAGTAGCGTGGGAGAGAGGGCACTGCCTGAGATTTTGCCAGTAATTTGGCTAGCACTTCAAAGTTTGTAAGACTTCCTGCAGATTTTCCATGAGCCACCATGACCCCTAGCCTACCTTAAATTGCTCCTGGTCATCGTGACGCTCTGAATTTACCAGTGGTCAGCTTCTCAAATTCACCTCACATAATTGTTCTCATCTACTGACTCTTGCCAAGATCTACTGCAGAAAACTAATTTAGTATTTCTAGATGTACCAGAAGAATCTGAAAAACTGCATCATAACTCACTTATTGACCATGCTTTTCTCAAAGTTTCTCAAAGGGCTTGAAAGCGGCTTATAAAATAGCAGCACTAAAAAGCGGCACTAAAAATAGCAACAACGATGATAATGACGATGTGCTAGACAGATGACAATGTGCTAGACAGACGACAATGTGCTAGACAGACCCTACCTATGCAGAATGTGAAGTCAGGAGGACCTTTCTTGAAGTTTTTGGGAAATGGAGAATAGTGCTAAGTAATTCTCAACATGAATTATAACTTCTTGCATCTTCATCATTAGGTTTTTAAAGATTAATTGGTTTTGTATTGTAGCAGCTAGTGAATTCAGTTTGAAATCAGAGTAACAGCAGAAGTTAGGGTAAATGCCAGAAAATATCTACTCTGCAAAATACCAGTATGCAACACAAACAAATGCATGTTGCAGCTATCCACTTCATAACAAAGTGCATGTTTCCACAGACACAAACTCAAGTACTTGTTATAAACTACAGTCCTGAAACTGGGCTAAGACATATGATCCCATCCCCTTAACCTCTACCAGCATCAATCCTGCTCAACAAAGAAAGAAATTGGAAATGCTCTATTAAATAGGCTTTTTCATGTCAGTCCCTTGACAAAAAGGCCTGAAAGAAACGTTTCTGAAGAAATGTTGCTCTCTTTAAAGCTAAAATTTTGCTTTTCCCAAGTTTAGTCTTTATGAAAATTGCTGGACTGACAGCCCTAAAAACTGGTCATCTGTCTGTTTAGATTACAGAGAGCATTAAGCATTATTTCTTGTAAATGATTCAACTCTGGCCTGAGTATAGTTTTGTTTCCACCTACGCTCACATCCAAGCACCTCTGATGAGACAGCCAGTGATGCTAATTGGTGGGTTAATTTCACAATGTTGATTACTGTCTGCTAGGAAAGGGATCATGCCCATCATTGATTTTCCAAAGATCACCAAACAACTGAGAGATCATAACAATTTAGTCCTTGCCAAACTAGACAGATGGAGTTCAACCACTGAGTGTTTTCCAAACTCTTTAGCCAACTGTTCCCTACTTCTGAATATTTCCACAACAGCAAAAAACCAAATCTTACCTTTTTATGAGCTACGAAGAGTGAACTTACTGTTCTGATCATATATATACTGTAAAACTGCACCACAAATAACAAATGTGAGAAAATTTTGGAATATTCTGTCATAGTAATGAGAAGACATTTTTCCACATATTACACCAGGTATGTCTATAGGTTCATGAGAATGAACAGTATTGGAGCAGCCGGCTCATCCCAGGCCACACATTATCATTAGTTCTCCAACTTGTGTTCCAGCCTTACTGGCATTCTGCCATTGCTGTAGGTGGTAGTGGAGCTGTGGGCAGACATTTGTCACTAGTCATCTAAAGCTAACTGGAACATGCAGTAACAGTAAAAACACTTCTCCAGCCTACATTTCTGTTCCCACATTGCCAAATTTATGGGATTCACACTGGAGCTAGATGACAGTGAAAAAGTTGCAAGAGCACGTGGGTCTTGTGCAGTATAGACAGGTGACAATCTAGGAATTGCATTCCTTTGAGGTTGGACAATGTTTCAAAACCTGCTTAATTTGTTCTGCCTTTCCTGACCATTGTAGATAAAATGCCTACATTTTTTACCTCTGATATTAACGGGGGGTTTGCATTGAACAAATTCTTATTTAGGAATTAAAAGCACTTGTGATCAAGTGCTGTTGATAAATATGAGAGACTGACTTTTCTGTTATAGCAACAAAGTACTTTATTTTACCAATATGCAAATTAATGTAATTGTCTCCTAGAAAAAGACCATCAAACCTGAAATTAAATTAAAATTGCCCTGCAGATGTGGTATCAAGCAACAATAAGGTAAAGCCCTAAAATTTTAATTCCTAAAAAAACTGTAGAAACATGGCAAGCAGATTTATACGGAACAGCATGATCAAGGACATTAGGGCCTACATAGGTGTAGGATATATACCCTTATCTTTAAGTGCTAACATTTGGGTTTTCATGAGCAGATTCATAGTTTTAAATTTTGAACTAATTAGAAAATAAAAATGAAAGTAGTACCATAAAGCCATAATGTTCTTGCTCACACTATAAAGAATGGTATTTCATGAAACATATGCTGTTATTTAGAAAATCTGTAGTTAAAGGAAAATTACCAAAAGTGATCACATAATTATATAAAAGAAAATTTGTTTAAAAAATTGTATGTTTTTCTCAGAAGATTCTCTTTCTAATGTAAATTCAAGATGTGTAGCAAAATTTTAAATTTACATTTTGGTGCATTCCAAATCTAAATGCTGTTTGATGTTCTGGATTCCTCTCCATATACTCTAAAAAGGCATTTAATCAGGTGCTATCTTGCAGTCCTTTGAATAAGTAGCATTGCCATTGTTGCCCCAATTGCATCTGAAAGATGCATGTGTAAGATTGTGAGTGACTGAGAGAGCATAAGCTTGTACTTAGGTTTGATTTGCATTTATCAAGGGAAAACAGAAAAGATTGAGGCTCTGATATATACATTTGCTTAGAAATGTCACTTCATTTCATTCATTGAGGACTTCTGTTTGTCATTGCAAGGTGTAATTTTTTGATAGATTAGGTAAATAAAAGTTACATCCTGAGCATTTTGCTGCAGCTGGCTTTGGTAGAAAAAACTTCATTAAAAACATTCAATTCAGTTATTGCATCTGATTCTTTAAGAGAAGAACCCATAAAACAGCTAATTTTTTTACCAAAACTCTCCTTAGGAATACAAGAATAATTAAAATGACTCTTCCCTAAACTTCCACGTGCAGCTGTCAAAGCCAAAACTTTCCAAGTCAGAACATTCTTATCAGTGCAGAAGAATTTGGGATCTCATTTGTAATGCAAATCGCCCAGGCAAATCATCATTGTCAAATGCATTGGAGAACAGAATATTCCTATTGAACAAATTACTCACCAAGAATCACAGCAACAACGGTGAAGAGCACAAAGGCATTCCTCAATAAATAACTTTTAACATCATCCTTTGTTATGCTCTGCACTTTTTTTTTTGCCAAAAGCGTACGTTTCCGGACTCCTTGTTGAATGCGTTCCATCCTACTTCCAGTTTTTGGATCTTCTCCGTTACCTTTATTCATCTGTCTTGCAGAAAGTTTTCTTTTACAATTAACTTCTGTCAATATCCCTTCAGAAAAATGGAAGACTCTTTTCCTTGGGAGGTACTGGAGAAACATGCAAGAAAAGAAATATAAAATATTGCAATAAGATTTTAGAGGAATGATTAGCCATATGTTTACATGGAAGCAAATATTCTTCATGTTTCAGTAAAACATATGATTTGTAATATCTATGTTGTTGATTGCCATTTTTCATAAATAGCCTCAATGACTGTTAAAGGAGGATTACATGGACTGATCAGATATGTGTCCTGTGTCTCCAGAAATTAATCTGAATTGCTGTTATGCTGTAAAACCCAGGAGTAATTTTTTTTTGCAGTTGCTAGAGATATACTAACGTAAAATTAGTAAAATTCTTAGAATTGTACGGTGTATAATGTTTAAAACTATCTGTCAGGCTTGCTTTTCATTTGTTTAGCAGGCCCACATTATCTGGAAAAAATTCTAGCTCACCTTCACATTAACCATTGGAGAGAAATATTTTGCTTGAACAGATACATTTAAAATATTCTGCATTTCAGATGTTTTTAAATGGTTGACTGCATTGGCTGAATTCTTCCTTTTCACATGGCAAAACACAG